ATAAGTTGAAGGCGAGCAAGACGTCCCAGAGTATTGTGGGCAGCGCGCTTGAGCATTCACAGAGGTTCGGCAGGCAGCCTGATGTGAGCTCCCAACATCACCATTTCCATCTCTAAAGAGAAGGGTGATTCGCTTTCTAGACACAGGCTTGTGTCTAAAGAGGCCGGAGACACTGAGTTAAACACATCTGACTTGATACCATAATCTTTCAAATTATTTTCCACAAACTAAAGTGATGCTCAAGGAAGACCCACCCCACCACCCGCCTCTACTCACCCCAGTCCCAGCACCCTGGCTGGAGACATAGAGCCCTGGGTTAATTACACAATGCAATGACAGTTTGCTCTTGTGCTCAAAATATGGGAAAGACTTTACAGTGTGCGACATTTCCCACTTCTGGGTAGCTTGCATCAAAGCAGGTGTCTCGGGGGCCCGATTCAACGTTGTACCCAAACAACGCCAAGCAGTAGTCAGGGGCCACTTGGAGGGAGCTATGAGGGTTTAAGCAGTTAATGAATATTAAAACTATATAGTAGAAAATAAAACCTTGCAAACGGAGTTTTAGTGTCTGTGGAATCTGATGGGTTTGAAGGTCAAGTGCCCACAGAGAATTCACAGCTTCGCGCTTCTTCACGATGCAGTTGTCCAGGGAGCTTGCCAGTTGGGAGCTGCAAAATCACAACACTAATACTTCATAATAGCCTTACCCCGTTACTGTTTATCATCCCAACCACGCTCCCAGCTATTACCTCATTTCTCCCCTTATACTATCCCTTGGGAGAGGCTGACATAAATTATTATCCCTCCTTTATGGGCGAAGGCATTAAAGCACAGAGATTAAACGGCATGCCCGAGGCTGGAGAATTAGTATTCGGCACAGGCCAGGTGAGAGCCCATGTCTGTTTCCCTGACGTTACGCTGCTTCTATGGCTAGCTCTAGCTATCCAAGCTTCTCTAGGTCCAGACGTCTCTGCCACCCTCATAAACAGCCATGAAGTCCTGGGAAAGCCTGCTGCTCTGCGCCCGGGGCCTGCTTCCACCTCACATTAACACGTCTTTAGAGCAATGTCTAGGAGCCCTCTCTTCTCAGAAGCTTCCCTACCCACCTCCACCCGAGATGGTCACCACCTCTGGAACCTTCCGCCCGCTGCACCAGGACCCAGCCCCACACCAGCACCATGTAATGATACCCTGAAGCTATGTGCTCATGGCTCGCCAAGTAAAGGGTGCGCTTCTGAGGCCGCAGCTGCTGCATCCGTGCTGCTGCTTTGGTGTCCTTCAAAGCCTCTGGAAGCAAGTTAGGCAGCACAGGGGCCTCAGAAACTTGCTCAGTGATGTGCTGGGTGCCATGGGACGTGAGTGATGGGCAAGATAGATTCTCTCTGAAAGCTCCACTGCTTGCTCCTGTCCCTGTCCGTCCTCTGCTCCATTTCCCTCTGCACACGGTAGCTATACCTACTGCTGTGCTAGCATCAGTCTGTCTGCCTGTGCATGGCTGTCTTTCCCACTGCAGTGTCAACTCCGGAGGAGCAAGGCCCTTCCTGCTCCTCCAGATCCTCACATACGTAGTAGCTGCTTGATCCATTGGGCTGTGTATCCCCTCCAAGTCTCATGTTGGCATGATCCCCACTGTTGGAGGTGCAGCCTAGTGGGAGGTCTTTGGGGCATGGGGACAGATCTCTCATGAATGGCCTGGTGTTGTCCTGGCAAGAGCAAGTGAATTCTTCTGAGATCTGGTTGTTTAAAAGAGTGTGTGGTGGCTCATGCCTGTAATCCCAGCACTTTGGGAGGCCGAGGTGGGCGGATCACGAGGTCAGGAGATCGAGACCATCCTGGCCAAGGTGGTGAAACCCTGTCTCTACTAAAAATACAAAAAATTAGCTGGGCATGATGGTGTGGGTCTGTAGTTCCAGCTATTCGAGAGGCTGAGTTGGGAGAATCGTCTGAACCCGGGAGGCAGAGGTTGCAGTGAGATGAAATCGCGCCACTGCACTCCAGCCTGGCGACAGAGCGAGACTCCACCTCAAAAAAAGAAAAAAAAATGTGGCACCCCCAGCTTCTCTCTGGCTCCCGCTTTCACCATAGGATGCACCTGTACCCCCTTTCCCTTCTCTGCCAATTGCTTGTAAGCTTCCTGAAGCCCTCATGTGGTACAGATATCGGCGCCATGCTTCCCATGTGGCCTGCAGAATTGTGAGCCAATTCAAACTTTTTCTTTACAAATTGCCTAGCTGCAGGTGTTCCTTTATAGCAGGGGGCTCCAACCCCCCAAACCAGGGGGTTAGGAACCAGGCCGCACAACAGGAGGTGAGCAGCAGGCAAGAGGGTGAGTGAAGCCTCACCGGTATTCACAGAGGCTCGCATCGCTCACATTACGGCTTGAGCTCCGCTGCCTGTCAGGTCAGAGGCAGCAGCAGATTCTCACAGGAGTGTGAACCCTGTTGTGAACTGCGCAAGTGTGGGATCTGGGTTGCCTGCTCCTTAAGAGAATCTAATGCCTGATGATCTGTCACTGTCACTCATCACCCCCAGATGGGACCATCTAGTTGCAGGAAAGCAAGCTCAGGACTCCGCTGATTCTACATTATCATGAGTTGTATCGTTATTTCATTTTATGTTACAATGTAATCATAACAGAAATAAAGTGCACAATAAATGTCATGTGCTTGAATCATCCTGAAACCACCTCCCACTTCCACGGTCTGTGGCAAAGTCGTCTTCCACAAAACCGGTCCCTGGTGCCAAAGAAATTGGGGACTGCTGCTTTTTTTTTTTTTTTTCCTGAGACGGAGTTTTTATTCTTGTTGCCCAGGCTGGAGTGCAATGGCGCAATCTCGGCTCACTGCAACCTCCGCCTCCCAGGTTCAAGAGATTCTCCTGCCTCAGCCTCCCAAGTAGCTGGGATTACAGGCATGTGCCACCATGCCCAGCTAATTTTTTGTATTTAGTAGAGACGGGTTTTACCTTGTCAGTCGGGCTGGTCTTGAACTCCTGACCTCAGGTGATCCACCCACCTTGGCCTCCTGAAGTGCTGGGATTACAGGCATGAGCCACGGAGCCCAGCCAGGGACCACTGCTTTACAGTAACAACCAGACTAACACAGTGCTCAGTAAACACTTGTTGAATGAGTGAATGGACGTCCAGACCAGTGCTCCACGTGGCATGCCCACCAGCCCATTTGCATCCAAATCACCTAAGATGCTCATTTAAAATGCAGGTTCTTGGGCCTCATCTCCAAACCACCAAATTAGAATCTCCGGAAGTAGGACCCAAGGTGCGGCCATGGTGATTTTGATGTACGTTAAAGCTGAGACGTGGTGCCCATTTTATAGATTAGAAAAGTGAGTCTCAGAAAGAGGCTTGTTGAAGGTCGCCAGACAGGTTATGGCCAAGTTGTTATCAGAACCCAGATTTCAAGCTCTGCATCCGGAGCTCTGTTCCCCCAGGCCGCCTCATCTGTGTGAGTGGTGGCATTTTCAGAAGGATTGAGCCCATAGTTTGTGTAAGGCCATCTGATGTTCAAAACAACCCAGTGTAGTAGATGCCATCATTACCTACAGCGGAAGACTGAAGCTGAGGACGTGGCTGGCACTGTGGCTGGCACTGTGCCGTGACTGCCTCCCCCAAGCTAGGGCTTCTGCCTGGCTCTTGCAAATACACAGCCCTTGCTTGCTCCCAACACAGGACTGCTTTCAGTGATGGCATTTTTTTTTTTTTTTTTTTTTTAGATAAAGACAACTAAAAAATAGCTTGGGTACATAAGCCGTAGACAATGTTGAAATTCTGCATATGCAAAGGAATGGATGTCTTCAGTTGGGTGCATCTACACAAGAAAAAAGAGATATGATTTAAAAGATTTAGACTCGGGGAGATTCTTGTCCAGTTACCAACCAGTTATTCTAGGGGAACCCCTCCCTAAGTTTGGAAAAAGAATCAGGATACAAAGGATAGGGCCTCTTCTTCCTGCCAGGCAGTGTGTGTGCTTCCAGCTCAGAGGGCAGGAGGGCTCAATGCATGCCCGGGGCCAAGGCCGAGCTCCCCCGACATCCTCAGGAGCGGGGGACCAGTGAACCTGCCCGACTGCTCTTCTGCGTGCCCTCCTCCCTCCACACACACATGTGCCCTGTCCATTTGTGCATTTGAGCATCTGTGGGAAGGCCTCTGAGTACATTCAAAGAGGAAGTCAGGGAGCATGCTCCAAACCCATGCCCTGGGTTGGCCTGTCCCACTCACGGCTCTTTCCCAGGCAGGAAAGATTCCTCGCCTTCTGGTCCGAGGATCACGGAAAGAAGGACTCTTCTGTGTGCTCCACCGTTCTGCTGACACAAGCCACCGCTGTGCCAGGAGAAAGGAACCCATGGGTGTGGGTGGCTTCATTTCTGGGCGCACAGGTGGCTTCTTGGCTTCCCCAGGCAGGAAGCAGAGCATGCTGGGGACTAGCCCCAGTTCCAGAGGAGCAATGGTGTCCCTAAGCACCTGCCTGCACTCCCAGGATGTAGCCTTTTCTCCAGAAGAGGAAGAGGAGCTCATCAACCTTGGATATGGTTATGGGCCAAATCGTGTCCCCAAAATTCCTATGTTGAAGCTCTAAGCCCCAGTACCCCAGATTGGGACTGTATTTGGAGACAGGCCTTTTTTTTTTTTTTTTTTTTTTTTTTTTTTTTTTTTTTTTTTTTTTTTTTTTTTTTTTTTGTAGATCGGCACTTACTTTAATTACTGAAATAGAGCCATACCCCACAGAGCCAGTCCGGGATGTTCATGTTATCATCACACCACCTGCATATATTTTAAATTGAGACGGAGTTTCCTTACACATTTAAGGCTTCAGTTTCCTCAAAGTGGAGGGAATTAAAAAATTAATCCTAACATGAAGATTTTTTATCCAGTTAAATAAAAATACTTAGAAAACGACTGGAGACAGGCCTTTTAAGAGGTGATGAAGTTAAAATAAGGCCATTAGGGCGGCCCTCATCCAGTGTGACTGGTGTTCTTCTAAGAGGGAATTTAGGCACACAAAGACACCAGAAACATGCAGTCACGGAGGAAAGGCCACGAGAGATCACAGCGGGAGACAGCGACCCTCAGCAAGCCAAGGAGGGGCCTCCAGAGAAGCCAACCCCACCAACACCCCGATCTGGGACTTGGAGTCTCCAGGACTGTGAGAAGTCACTTTCTGTCACATAACCACCCATCTGTGTTCTCTGTTAAGGCCGCATTAGCAACTGAATACAAATACAGGATCAAGAAGCCCGGAGGGCTGTGAACCTGCTTTGTCTTTCACGGGTGTGGGATGTCTTAGGTCTTCCTCTGGGCTGAGGTCTGCTTGCGGATGGGTTCACACTGCGGCATTCCTCCCGAGAGCTTTCCTGGGACTTCTCCCTTGAGTCCCAATCTCAGCCACCCCTCCATGCTGACCATACTGCTCCCCAGCGCTGACTTCTCCAGGCCTGTACTTCGGCTTCCTCCTCCCACCGTCATGCACAAGTCCCAGCAGGAACTTATTATCTGAACTCCCAAACCCACCCCTCCCTCCAGTGGATGGCATCAGCATTCTGCCCTGCAGGCTTGAAAAGGCACGTATCCAGGGATTCCTCAAGAGTGGTGCCCGGAGCCACTGTCTTTCTGGAAATTACTGAACTGTTTTCAAACTGTGCCTTGAAGATGTGTTAGTAACACAGCGATTTCTCCTGTGTGGGGTTTAGCCGCTGGCCCCAGTTCAGGGGATGACACCCAAAGCATGATCATCAAGCCCTCCCCTCTCGAGGACAGCTAGTCTGGAATGACAGTCCCTGTCTGGATTTCTGGGACCTCTTCTTTGTTTCAGTTCTTCATCTCCATGTCACCAGACTGTTGAAAGCCTTTCTAAAAGGCTGGGTGTCCCTGGTTTCGACTCTAGATTCTCACACCCCAGCCAAAATAATCTTCTGGATTTACTTCGAAGGCATTCGATTATGTGGGGGATAAAATCTAAATCGCTTTCGATGGCATTCAGGGCTCTCTAGCTCCGATCCTAACCGGCCCTCCCAAGGCTGTTTTCCACTTTTCCTCTTCTTGCACTGTATCCTCTCACTCCACAAATGCAGCTGGGCTTGAGGCCGACAGTCTGGGTTCAAATCCTGGCCTTGCCACTTCCTTGCTGTGTGACCTGGGGAGGCTTGTCAAGCACTGGGTAATAATATCAATAGCTAACTTTAACCCAGCACTTAGCTTGTATCAGGCCTCATGACAAGAGAGCTCATAAATTGTTTTACTTAGTTCTCCTGCCAGCCCAATTCTGTAGGGAACCCTAGGTCTTACCATCATCTTCCTTCTGCACAGGAGAGCAAGGCACTAGACATTTCAGTGACTTGCCCAAGGCTTGAAGCCTCAGCTTTTGCATCTGTAAAATGAGGATAATCAGTGTTTCTCCCCGTGTTGGTCAGGACTCTTCCCAGTTGCAAGTGACAGGAACCAACTCTAAGGAGCTCAAGCAAAACAGAGGAGGCGCGCCTTCCAGGGGCAAGGGATGTCCTCAGCCTGCTCCAGCTCTGCCTTTGGCGATCCAGCCTGCCGGGGATGGACATTCTTAGGATACAGGAACCCCGCTCTCTGACACCTGTGATCTCAGAAGGCAAGAATCCCTCTCTCCCAGGGCCCAGAGTCATCCCTGAGAAGGACCCTGACAACCCAGGTCAAGGTGCCAGCCCCGCGTGTGGGAAGTGAGCCCGCGTTTAGAGATTCTAGGCAGTTCCCCACAGGAAAAGATTCTGGGGTGGGGCTGCTCAAAACTAACAAGTGTTTGCTAACTTGGTAAATTTATTCAACTCAATAGTTACGGAGTGCCTGCCACGTGCAAGTGTGGGGAACTAGTAAGGAGCCCACGAGGAGGGAACTCCGTGAAGGCACCACTCCCGGTGGCTCCTCCAGGGGACATGCCATAAATTGAACAGGAGTGAGCTCAGCCTTCCCCTGCCAACACCAGGAAGCACCTCCATCCCTAGGCCTGTGGTTTACAATGTGGTGCCCACATCACGCCTCCCCTTCTCCCCTGCGGCACGGGACGAGTGTGTGTGTGTCTCAGTGCACACACCTGTGCTCTGCGTCCCTAAGCAGTCTCAGATAAGGGCTGTGCTTACTAGATGCACGGACGAAAGGATGGAGAGGTGCACTGGGCTTTTTCTTTCCCTTGAAACTGGCACAGAAGATTCAGGTTGTATCACAGTTCAAATGCAGGAACACAAAGCTGTTTTGTATCAATATGTTTTTTTGATTTTGCTTCACTCACTTTATGGAACATCAGAGTGTCTCAGTGCAGAGGTCCCCATGGGCCAATGTGTCCCCAGAACGTGCATCTGTGCAACACTCCTCTCCCAGGGTCTACTTCACGCGTTCCCCACCCCATACACACCAGGTGCCAACACACATGGGCACACGTCCCCCCACCCCATACACAACAGGCACCAACACACATGGGCACACGTCCCCCCACCCCATACACACCAGGCACCAACACACATGGGCATGCGTCCCCTCTACCCCATACACACCAGGCGCCAACACACATGGGCACGCCTCCCCACACCCCATACACACCAGACGCCAACACACATGGGCACGTGTCCCCCCACCCCCATACACACCAGGCGCCAACACACATGGGCACGCATCCCCCCACCCCATACACAGCAGGTGCCAACACACATGGGCATGCGTCCCCCCACCCCCATACACACCAGGTGCCAACACATATGGGCATGAGTCCCGCCACCCCATACACACCAGGCGCCAACACACATGGGCATGCTGCACTCCACCCCCATACACATGGGCACACTGTACCCCATTCGGTGATGTCATTCGAGGCCTTTTGGTGGCTATTTTTTTTAGTTGTAATTCACACACTATAAAATGGACCTTTCAAAGGGCATGGTTCAGTGGTTTTTGGTATACTCACAACATTGTGCAACCATCACAGGACCTCATTCGAGCACATATTCTTCATTCTGAAAGGAAACCCATATCCACGGAGGCAGTCACGCTCCGTTCCCTCTCCACCCTGTCCCCTTCACTAATCTGCTTTCTGTCTCCATGCATTTGCCCATTCTGGACATTTCACATAAAGGGAATGTTTCATTCAACACACGCCATTAGTGACTGGCTTTTTCAGTGAGCATTATGTTTCAAGGCCCATCCACGCCTCATGTGAACGGGCACTTCATTCCTTTTTATGTGTGAAAAATAATTCACTGTCTGGTTAGACCACATTTTGCTTCACCTTGGACACTGGGGCTGTGTCCACGCTTTGGCTCTTGTGACTAATGCGGCCACGAACATTTGGGTCCAGGTTCTTGGTCTCGTTGTTCTTGGGTACAGGTGGATATGTGTTGTTTCCTTGAGTGTGTGTCCCGGAGTGGAGGGGCTGGGCCATCACGGTGACCCGATGTTTGGCTTCTGGAGTTAGCACATTTCATATTCCCACCAGCAGTCCCTGAGGCTCCCATTTCCCACATTCCCACAGACATTCACTAGTGTGCGCTTTTGGTGGTAGCCATCCCAGCAGGTGTGCCCACGGTGCCTACATGCCCTTTATTCACGAATATTTCACATTTTGCTACATGTCTTTCTCTCTTAACAGCGATTTTTTCCTGAGCCATATGAGAGTAATAGACAATACATACATCATCCCTTAATTCTTTTGTGTAGTTTCTAAGGAAAAATACATTTTTAACTGTAACCACAGTACCATTATCACATTCAGGACATTTAACATTGACATTGACACAATACATTTATCTAATCTAGAGCCCATTGTCTCTTTCATCAACTGCCCCAATATTGTAATTTATTACAGTTGTTTTTCTTCTGGAACAGGATCCATCCCAGAGTCACACCACTTTCAGTTGTTTTCTCTTTACAGTTTCCTTTCATTTGAAACACTTCTTTGATCCAAATATATCCTGATAATATAATGTACATGACATTAACATGACTGAAGGATATCGGCTGGTTATTTCATAGAATGGTCTTTAACTTAGGCTTGTCTGAGTTTCACCATGACTAAATTCAAATTTTTCATTTTGACTTGAATGCTACAGAGCCTCACATCCAGATGCTCCTGACTGCCATTATACCTGTCTTTCTTTTTTCCCTAAATTAACTGTTTCACAATACTGTCTGTGTATAATAGAAAAAATTTAAAAGCTTCTCCGTTTCAAAAGTGTTGCTTTTCTTTATCAAAATAATCTCTTCCTTCTGAATTCTCTATCCATAGGAGAATATTTTATTGTCTATTATCTTGGGAAAAAATTGATTTATCTCTACTAAAATTCGTAAGTATAGATGCAGTTTTCAGTATTTTTCTTACTGCAATCAATAGGAGCAAGGAGACCGGGAGACAACCGGTAAAAATATACGAACTGTGGGTAACACTATTATATTAGTCCGTTTCCACACTGCTATAATGATGCTACCTGGGGCCAGGTAATTTATAAACAAAAAAGGTTTAATTGACTCACAGTTCCACATGGCTGGGGAAGCCTCAAGAAACTTAACAATTATAGCAAAAGGCAAGGGGAAGAAAGGCACATCTTCAAAGACAGCAGGAAAGAGAGAGAGAGAGAGATAGAGAGAGAGAGAGAGGAACAGTAAGAGAAAATGCCCCCATGATCCAGTCACCTCCCACCAGGTCTCTCCCTTGACATGTGGGGATTGCAATTTGAGATGAGATTTGGGTGGGGACACAGAGCCAAATGATCTCAATTATTAACCAACTTGACTTAAGTGATATTTGTAGAACCTTCCATTAGACATGAGCAGAATACACTTTCTTGAGAGCACACAGAATATTCACCAAGAAAGGCCATATTCTGGGCTATAAAACATCTTTCACACCTCAATAAACTTAAAGGGATTAAAGTCAGACAAAGTATGTTCTCTGGCCACACAGAATTAAATAATAAATCAATTACAAAAAAAAAGAAACCTTTTCAAAATGTTTGGAAGCTAAGTAGCACACAACTAAATAACCCTTGGATCAAAGAAGAAATCAAAAGATAAATCAGAAAGTAGTTTGAACTGAAAGAAAATGAAAACATAATATGTTAAAGTTTGTGGGATGTGCCATTAAAGCAGCACTTAGAGAGAAACTTAGAGCAATAAACATTCACATTAGAAGGGAAGAACTGTTTTCAATCAATGACCTCAGCTTCTAAAGGAAATCAGAAAAAGGAGAGCAAATTAAACTCCACATGCATGGAAGAAAGTCCATTAAAGCTAGTACCATTAAAGATCAGAGCAGAAATTAATGAAATTTTTAAAAAGATAGAGAAAAATCAATGAAACCAAAATTGGATCTTCGAAAAGATCAATAAAATTTATAAATCTCTAGACAGATTTGTCAAGAGAAAAAAGAGGGAAGACACAAATTACCAATACCAGGATTGAGAGAGGTGCCATCACTACAGGTTCTGCAGAGATTAAAACAGCTGGGGGCTATTTCCCCCACAGAGGATATTCAGCAATGTCTGGAAACTGGGAAGCTGAAGGGAGGGGGCATCACTGTGACATCTGTCTAGTGGGTGGAGATCAGAAATGTCATTAAACATCTTACAATGTGTAGAACATGCTGCCTCAGAAAAGAATTGTCCAGTCAAAAATGTTAGTTGTTGCCTGTTGAGAAACCCTGCTTTAAAAGGATTGAAGGGAAGCCGGGCACGGTGACTCACGCCTGTAATCTCAGCACTTTGGGAGGCTGAGGCAGGCAGACCACTTGAGGTCAGGGGTTAGAGACCAGCCTGGCCAACATGATGAAATCCTGTCTAAACAACAACAACAACAAGCCAAACAACAACAAAGGGATTTAAAGGGATATTATCTATAACTTTATGCTATTAAATTGAACAACTTAGTTGAAATGGACAAATTCCTTGAAAGACACAAACTACTAAATCTCATACAAAAAGAAATGGATAGCCCAATATTTATGAAAGAAATTGAACTTGTAATTTAAAAGCTTCCCACAAAGAAAACTCCAAGCACAGATGCCTTCACTGAAGAATTCTATGAAACATTCAAGGAAGAAACAGTACTGATTCTATACAAACTCTTTCAGAAAATCAAGGCTGGCTTTGCCCTGATACCAAAATCAGACAAAGACAATTTAAAAAAAGAAAACTATAGATTAGTCAGATCTAACTACGGATGTGGGTGTGTATACGTTTATGATATGTTATGCATTGTGTATATGTGTATACATATAAGATAATATATTATGACCACGTAGGGTTTTTCCAGGAGTTCAAGGTTAGTTTAACACTTGAAAATTAATGAATATCATTCATTAAGTTGGTAGAAAAAGAAAAAACATATGATCATCTCAATAGATGTGGGGAAAGGATTTGACAAAAATCCATCATCCTTTCCTGATAAAAACTCTAAAAGTAGATGGAAACTTTCTCAACCTGGTAATGGACATCTATGAAAATCCCATAACTAATGTCACACTTAAGAATTGTAGAAGACTGACTGCTTTCCTCCTAAGATCATGAACAAGTCGAGTGTATCTGCTCTCACCACTCCTACTCATCACCGTACTAGAGGTTGTTAGTTCAACAGGCAAGAAAAAATAAAACAAAAGGCATCCAGATCAATATAGAAAAGTATCTTTTTTTTTTTTTTTTTTTTTGAGACAGAGTCTTGCTCTGTTGCCCAAGCTGGAGTGCAGTGGTGCAGTCTCTGCTCACTGCAACCTCCACCTGCTGAGTTCAAGCAATTTTCCTGTCTCAGCCTCCCGAGTAGCTGGGACTGCAGGCTTGCGTCACCATGCCCGGCTAGTTTTGTTTATATTTTTTTTAGTAGAGACAGGGTTTAACCACACTAGCCAGGCTGGTCTTGAACTGCTGACCTTGTTATCCGCCCGCCTCAGCCTCCCAAAATGCTGGGATTACAGGCATGAGCAACTGAGCCCGGCCAGAAAGGTGTCTTTATTCAGACATGATCATCCATGTGGAAAAACTGATGGAATCTACAAAGAAGCTAGCAGACTAATAAATGAGCTTTTCAGGACATATGCTCAATATAGAAAAGTTCGTTGTATTTCTATATATTTGCAATAAACAATTGGAAATCCAAATAAAAGTCCATTTGCAACAGCATTAAAAACATGAAATATTTAGGAATAAATCTGACAAAAGTTGTGAAAGACCTGTACACTGAGAACTAGGAATTATTGCTGAGAGAAGTTAGAGAAAACCTACGTA